GATGCAAAGTTTATAAATACATCAGCGGTTGGGTGTGCAGTACAAGCAGCCTCAACACTGCAAATGATATCAATTGAGTGTCAGAAATCTAAAAACCAGAAAAGTGCCAGCAAAGTTTCATGGTTAAATCCCAAAATATTGGTTGTTCTAACAACTAATGAAGTTTCAAAGTACATAAAAGGTCGATGACTTATATTTACTACCAAATAAGTGGCATGTTGCAATAATATAACATTGGACTCACTACCAGAAATTATTCATCTGACTCATTGCAATAGTCTATGCTTGAGTTATATTTTTATTGAAGTTGTTTGTTAGCAATTGCAAGCATAGCATAATCATTTTCAACAGTTTATAGTCTAACAATAGTCCATGCATCTACAATGTCGTCAATAGGAAATGCATGTTTCTAGGAAGCAGGATACGGAAGAGTAACAGGTCAAAAAGAATTGTAATATCAAGCTTGATAGCAATCATATCACATGCCACTCAACTTCACTATGCCAGAAAAACATTTCCCTCTTCGCATTGTAATTGACACTTCCAAAACCTATGTTGCATGGATTGTATAACATATATACAAAAATCAAGATGAAACAAACATATCTTACGCTGAATGTACAGGGATTGCAATTTCCTCTTGACCAAAAAATAGTTTCTGGAATCCCTCTGAACCAGGGTTAATAATTCCAGCCACTGATGGTGTTTCCCTCCCTATAAATACATGAAAAATTAAGGAGTACATCAGACCGTAGATCAACACAGCACAGAAAATAAGCTAGTTCAATTACATAAATCTAGATGCAATATCAGCTAACCTATGTTACTATATAGATATGACCAAAGAAAAACAATATGAAGTAACACATACCGCAAAGGAAATCAAAATCAAGCATGCGTTGGATGGGAAGCTGCTTGTAATTATAAAACAAAGCCTGTGTAGAACGAGAGAAGAGTTGTCCAGTGGCCATTATGTCAATTCAAGAGGCCTGTAAGTGTAAACAAACAGGATCAATTACAAACTGACCAAGTGTTCCGAAAACAGACAGAGAAAAGAAATTGCTTATTGGGTTCATGTTTCTTGCTTTACAGTTCCAGAAAATGCTTCTGAAAACGAAAATACAGCTCGCAAAAAACTATCTTCTCTTTTTACTTTCCACATTATTTCTCTACCTAAAAAATATCTACCACACTAAACGAACACAAACAATATCGTACAATGAACGCTTCAAATCAAAACCACCAAACCACACCTAACTTGAAGCTACACCATACCAGATCGTAACAAACGGGAATGACCAAACCAGATAAAATCAAATCAAATCAAATAGGAAACGTAATGCAGCTAGCAAAATCTTGAATACCAATGAAGCACCGATTTCTCCAGTTTGACATAAACTGGAATTATATAAACGCGAAATCACTAGCTAAACAACAAAACAGAGTATCAACAACATTTCCCGAGAGAATCAAACTTTCAAATTCAAACAGGCAGAAGAGACAGGAATTCGAATCGAGAACCAGATCTGGAAGGATAATTGAAGTAGTTAAACAACTGTTTGGTCTACAAAGAAAAGAGAAAATGGAATTTGAAACTACCTAAACCAAAATGGACTTACTATCAGACCTCGGAGAATTCGCCGAGCCAAGCGAGATGGACAGAAAAGCAAATGCTGGAATTGCGCAGAGCGGAGAAAGGGAATTATATAGGGGGAGAAGGTAGAGAGAAAATTGCTTGCAGCTACCACAACAAGAAGAGGGAGGGGGAGCTGGTCACGTGGCACATAGTAGTTAGCTCACGGAGTGGAATTTTGATGCTCCTTTTTATTATTGTGTACTTCTGCAATTTGTCAATTTTAGAGACAGAAGGTTGGGAGTTGGGCCCGAATGTGGTTTGGTGGTAGGTAGTAGATCCATAACTAAAATCTTTGGTTGGTCCTGAAATTTATTGACTAAACAACCTTATTTGTCGACGTCATTAGATCTAATATATAATTCTTATGCTTAAATGAATTTCTTTGCTCTATTAAGTTGAACTTCTCTTAAATGGGCAATACCCTAAATCTAATATAATATATAATATTTTCAAAAAATTATATATAAAGATTACTTGAACAGCAGTGCTATTTTACTTTTTACCGCTAAAATTTAATAAAAGTGTTGAATAGCTGATATAATAAAAATTACGGAGAGGTATTAATTCAATATTTAAAATAAGAGTATTAATATCTAAATTAGGTCAAACTTTAAGATTAAATAGTAACTTATTTTAGTGTAAGTTATAACTCATAAATTAAAGAAAAACTATAAATTAAATATTTACTATGTACTCCGCTTAACAAATTCGTTTATTTTGAAAATTTTAATTAAATAACCCTTCATGCGTTATTTTCAAAACCCTTAGGATATTTTAAATGACTTAAGATTTAACAATTACTTTAAAAAATTAAGTTTTATTTCAATATTATTAGATTTGCTAAAAGTTAAAATAAATTTTGATCACGTGTGTTCTTGCTGATATTATTATGTGAATAGTGAAAAATCTTGACTCGACGATAAGAATTTTTGCTAATTTGGCAAATTAAATAATGAATAAAAAAATAAAGTTAAATAAATACACAACTTAATTGATTTTTTTTTTTTTTTTTAACATTTGGCAGTGAGACAGTAATGAAGTGATTTGGGGCCATCTTCTTGAGCGGAAGTACAGACAAATGGGTAAAAATGAGTGAGGATCCATATGGTGGTTTTCTTAGAGTGGAAGGGCATTTTCCAATTTTCAAATTCCAATTACAACCAAACCAACAACCAAGAGAGGAAGGATCGTTCATTGTTGTGCTGTACCTAACAATAGAACTGTTAGTTAATACTTGGTACAACTCCACAATTACGTGGCCAAAAGTTTCCAATTATATTTAAAAAAAAAAATTTGCTCACACATTATTTAGAGGAGATGAGCATTTTTGTTTTATTACATTTAATTTTCTTAAAAAAACATTAAAAATTCAAAAAATAGAATAGATAACTATCTTTTTACTAGCTAAGTTGCTATTAAGTAAGAAAAAATTTCATCATTAACATTGTTACTATATATATATATATATATATTCACCATTAAAATTATTATTATGATTATTTTATTCAATTCAATAATAATTTCTACTGCTACCTTGAACATGTAGTTGACCAGGTTAAAGAATGAATGATGAGTCTCTAAAATACAGCTTGAGCATTAGAAAATGGAAATGGCGTAGGCTTTACCTCACTAATTTTATTGGTCTATTGCACTAATCAGAATCTCATAGTTATAAATTAATCAAAATAATTCAGCCAATTTTACACGCCAACACAATTTGCATATAATCAATTATTTCACATTCCTTCAAACAGCCCTTAAGGGCTGACTAAACCCCATGGAATATGCCCTGCAAGTACTATCAGTGGAATGTCACTTACAAAGCACGTAATAAATTATTAAAACCCTTAAAAGCTTGGTTTGTTTTTTTTTTTTTTTTTTTTTTTTTCACATTCCTTCAAACAGCCCTTTAATCTAGGGACCTACTTAAACCCCTAATGGTAACTATTGCCCCTGCATAGTACTATCAGTGGAATGTCACTACACAAGCACGTAATAAAATTATATAAAACCCTTAAAAGCTTGGGTTGTTTTTTTTTTTTTTTTTTTTTTTTTCATATTGACCCCCGAAATAACATTGATAAATTAACGTAATAATAGTAGCTCTACTCTTAATTTCATTTAATTGATGAAAGCTATTTGATCGAGCGATGAACTCAATACCTCTCATACTTTAAACAACTTTTACATTAGTGAAAAAAGACCCAGTCAAACCACCACTTGATTGATTCAATGTATGCTTTTCTTTTTTTTTAAGCAATAATATAGGAAAGTTTTTAAAAACTGATTTATCATCATTATTGTAAATAAAATTTTATTTAATTTACCACACTATGGAACTAAAAAATTCATTCTTTGGTTTAACTTTTACTCAAAATTTATGCTCCGAAAATACAGTTTACTCGCGCTGATTCTCAACTTCTTTTTAACTGTATGTTCGAGACATAAATTTTTTTTTTTTTTTTTTTTTTTTTTATATTGACCGAAATAACATGATAAATTACGTAATATGAGTAGCTCTACTCTTAATTCATTTAATTGATGAAAGCTATTTGATCGAGATGAACTCAATACCTCTCATACTTTACAATTTACATTAGTGAAAAGACCAGTCAAACCACACTTGATTGATTCATGTATGCTTTTTTTTTTTAAATAATATATAAAGTTTTTTAAAACTTATTTATCATCATTATTGTAATAATTTTATTAATTTACACACTTGAATAAAAAATCATCTTTAATTTTATAAAATTTATCTGAAAATACAGTTTATCGGCTGATTTAACCACGGACTTCTTTTTAATGTATGTTCGAGCATAACGGGCATTAAAAAATAAGTTTGGGAGGGCCAATGACGTTGCTGTTAATTGTGTTGGGCCATTAGAGCAGATAGTTAGGTGGAAGCAACAAAACCTTTGCTTCAAATTTCAATATTGGAACTTGTACTTAACTTTAGCAAAAGACAACGGAAACCTTTCAACCGGGAAAGAAAATTATATTTTCCCATCGTTGACCAAAGCTCAAACAATACAAGCTTCATCACAACTGGTGGAAGAAGATAGAATTTCAATGAGAAAATTCTTCATACTCAAATTTAACTTAATTGAATTGGAAAAATTATGCAGAACAATGAAAAAGAAAAAAGAAAATGCATGTTGCATCTTCAACCTTCCTCCTTGACCCCATCTGCAATACCTTAACAACTGAAATTAATATTTTCAGGAGGAGGGCCCATGACAATCAAAGCAGGTCGTTGCCTTTGAATGGGCTAGAAGGAGCATCAAACCTAAAATTTTAGTTGAAACTTGGAAGTTATTGTACATTTAACTTCACATTGGTCAGGAATGGATATGTAATTAAAGATTTGACAAAGGGTTCTCTCAGTTTGGTAAAATCTTCTGTAAATAATGCTTCACGGACTAAAATCTCAATCTAATATAATATTTCCTATAGGTCCAACAACTAAACTTCTGTTAATATATTCTGCTATTCAAGTTTCGTTTTGTATCATAAAATATGTACAGATATAAATTAGTTTTACATCTTCAAGCCACTGAATTTTCTTCAGTCTATAACCGCCCGTATTTGAACACCCACTGGGCTCTGACTATGTCCTGCTTAGTACTGACATTATCCCAGTGAATTGATGTAGTCAATAGGATTTGCAAGTTTGCTCCTCCTAATTTATATCCTGGATCTGCACTTGCTTCATTCGAACACCTTGATCACATATCCTGCAGGAATGGATCATAACGTTTGACTGTTCCAACCAAACCAAGGGCTTCTTTAAGTGCCTCCAAGAGATGCTCCGGATGATCCTCAATACAAGTGAGACCATACTGTGATTGCATTGATCTCAAGACCCTTCCAATTATCTGGAGTTATAAAATTACAACACCTCCATTAACAAATTTCCAGATATACTTTGTTGAAACTGGCACTGAAACTAGGAGAAATTATAATACTAACCTTCCGGGCATAGCCACCATAAGCTATCCCACAAATTGAGGCACGTAGTGAATTAAGTGATGAAGCTTTTGATATCTTATCTTGTGAGTTATCTAGAAGAAGAGAGAAATGACGTGAAAAGAAATCACAACATAAAAGGGCACAAGAAATGTTTTGCTGTATATAAAATTACCAGCAAACAATGCTGTTTGAAAAAGTCCCTCTTTTTTTAACCCATCAACTGTATGAGCATTTGTGCCACCTGCCAATTGATAGAAACCTACCAGCACAGGAAGGTGAAATTCAGACTTTTGCACATATCATGAGCTGGGAACAGATCAAAATGACCATAACTTTTTGTGCATAGTGAGCCTGCACACTGACCAGGAGGCTTGTCTTTGGCAGCAGCCAAACGAACAGCAAATGCAATTGATTCCCTTGTGGCACCTCGGCCAATATCTCCACTCATGGGCCGGCCATCCAACTTCAGTTTACAAAGCCAATGACTTGTTAAAAGAAATAACTTTTTATCTGAGATGATAACATTTGAAACAAATTCAAAAATTGTTGGAAGTAAAAGGACACAAACCTGCCATAGATTGAGACAATTTAACTGAGGTTCCATGACTGAGTACATGTTGTTCATTGAAGATAGAGTTGAATCCCCAGCATAAGGTAAGCTAACCTGTGGATGGTAAAGGTTAATTTTAAGCTGGTCTTGCAGTCGACAACTGCTATATTAGAGAGGTTCCCCAGCTTAGCACCACATAAGTATTCAGTTCAGTTAACAATGGAGGTTCTTATACTCACTGCTGCTAATTTCAGGTGTCTGAGTGAGTTTCCCAAACCATCCCAAAGTTTCTTGAAGGGAGCCATCTGCCTATACACAGGACAAACAGACAGTTTTTTCTAGGTGAATACAGTTACTTACAAAAAGATTATAAGAACATTAACAAAAATAGAACATTGTACTTCAGCAGTTTGAGATGTAATTCTAAGACTTGAAGGACAATATGAAAGGTACGTTGCAAAGAATTTGCCCAGAAAAGAACTGTAATGAAAATTAGGAGAAGTAGAGGACAAAATTGCTCTGAATATCAATTTCAGTGTTCTTGGTGTCTCTGGTTTATCTTCATGGAATTGTACCTTCCACTTGTATGTATCTCTATGGCATCAACATCATTTCTTTTAAGAAGTTCAGCAGTAGCAGTAGCATCTCTTACATAGGTAACCTCTCCTAGAGCAACTTCAACAAGTCAATTTAAATTTAAAATGACCAACATGACAAAATTTTAATGTTCTTTAAGCCTTGAGTGGGGAAAAGGGAAAAGAATTACTAGCAATTTCATAGGAAAAAAAAGGTTTGAAGTATTCATAATGGGCGGATAAAAAAAATAGAAAGCCAAAAAATTGAAAAGTTTGGCATTACAAAAAAGCAAAATAATACTACTCACTGATTTTATCATAGGGGCAGACAGGAAAGCAACGGCCACAGCCATAACAGCGTTCAGTTATGACTCCACCCTGCAAATTAATATCTACTAAAAAGATAACTACTGGATCAATGAGAATGACATAGATGAATAATCATAAACTCCAGAAAGTTATTCAACCAAAGACCTTTAAAACATGTAGCATATCTATATCATAGGAAGAATCCGTTGTTGATTTTTGTTCCTCTAATGATATTGCATTCGCAGGACACACATTCTCACATGGCCTTGAACAGTCCCGTGGACATTCCTCTGGATCAAATTCTGTCGAATAAAATACTAAATTCAGCTTAACAAGATTCATAAAACTCATAGACCTAAACTTGCTTACTCAGAAATCCCTTCAAAGAAACAAAACTAAACGATATTTAACCAAAAATTTTAGATATTATGATCTAATTAATGTGGCCAAAGGATCATGATGTCATTTGAACTTTGTGCCTATCAAAACCCAAAAAAAAAAAAAAAAAAAGGAAAGAAAAGAAAAAAAAAAAAAAAAAAAAAAAGGAAGAAAAAGAAAAGAAAAATGTTAGGCTAATAACCAGCTTTACGAAAGTGAAGATCCTCGATCATCATTAACACTAATCATTAACAAGGCTTTCGAATCTGCAAAGAATGTCTCGTGCATGCTTTCAATGCCTTCATTTACAGGCAAACTCACAACTGATTCATCAGCAGAAAACCAATCAATGGCAATCAAACTGCAATCATTCATTCAATTAATCCTAAACCTTTGTTTGTTATCAATCTTTAAAAAAAAAAAAAAAAAAGGAAAGAAAAGAAAAGAAAAATGTTAGGCTAATAACCAGCTTTACGAAAGTGAAGATCTCGATCATCATTAACACTAATCATTACCCAAGGCTTTCGAATCTGCAAAATGTCTCGTGCAGCTTCAATGCCTTCATTTACAGCACTCACAACTGATTCATCAGCAGCACAATCAATGCAATCAACTGCAAATCATTCATCAATTAATCCTAAACCTTTGTTTGTTATCAATCTTTAAATTAAACAAGTGCTAAAATAAATTAATTTGAGGTTGTTCACCTCCAGCTAGAGTGTAAACCAGAGAGAGGTTTCTGATATCAACAACATCCTGGAGAGAGATAAAGAAAAGGAAATAAGTAGGCAACTTGACAATGGAAATTAAAGTTTTTGACACAGAAGGGTTTTTAGGAATGTGAAACCTCAAAGCTTGCACCACATATAAGCTTGACCCAGCTCCCGTTTTGTAGTGATTCCTGTGGAGCACACACAACTGAAGGAACCTGAAATTTTCTCACAAGGTTTCTGACACCTTCGAGGCATTTATCATTCCTGTAACTCACTTTTCCTGAAATCAAAGAAATAGGTAATACTCTTAAAATTCTATCCTTAAATGTTGAAGAAAGAAGAAGAAGAAGAAGCAGCAAGAGAAAACCTTGACGTTGCGGTAAAACTGTAGCAGTAATGGAGAAGCTCAACGCCGCCATGCCAACAGACAAAATCCACACAAACCGATGTTATCCGTTAACATGGAAAGCTTTTAACGGACTTTCGCGGTTTCCGAAAGATATTTATAGTCTGTTTGGGCTCACTGGGCCTTCCCCATTACTCAAAGAAATTGGTTGAAGGCCTCACATTGAACAAATTAAAGCCCAACTGGCAAAACACGCATTCCCTGTCCCAATTCCAATGGCGCGACGGGATGATTTATGTCCATTCCGTCCCCACCCCATAAGAAAAAGAATTTTATATTCATTTTCCTCCCGTAAAAAATATTAAATTTCCATTTTTGTCCTACTCCAACCAATCCTATAAAAAATTATATTTTTATAAAAACATACTAATATATATTATTCATATAGTAAAAATTAATAAAAATATATAATAACATGTTCTGCTCAAATAATGATATTTTTTATCATATATTGAAAAAAAAGATCAAGCATGAATAATTTTTAAAAATTTCATACTTTTTACTAATTTGGTCTGTAGAAGGCTATTAAACGGTTTAGGCGAGTATAATGTTTAACAAAAATATAAAAATCAAAATCCCGTTAATAATGTTTAACGGTTACATTGAGTTTGATAATAGCTCTCAAATTAGGTATGTCCATGAACTGAGTTTGCATAATCCCATACCCCTTAACAAACCTAAAAAAACCTGTCCCAGACACAATCCCAAATTCCCTCTCCTTCATTGAAAATATATCAGATCCTTGGATTTCCAGTGTGCTTCCTTTATAATCACCATCGGTAAAAATAAGAGAAAACACCATATACAAACCCTTCCCGTCCAGCTGCGAGTTTATGTAGCTCCCTTGAGCTCTACCAATCTCTTTGGACTCAATAGTTGGTCCTTCAGTAACTGGATCATCAACAATCGCAATACTCCCGAACTGTAGGATGCTGAAGTCGGGCCCACTTTTACCGGCCACGGTAACTGCTGAGGTGTCATGGCCGGTGAAGTAGTCATGCACGTAGACTACGAGATTGGTTTGCTTTGGTTGATGTTGTTCAGGTTTAGGGATTGTGTAGGCAATATAGAGAACGAACAAGCTGGAGATGAAGAAGATAAAATTTGTAGACATGGCCGTTTCTTTTGGGTGGAAGTAGAAGTAATTAGGGTTTGATTTAAGGTATATGAATGAACGGGAATATGCTTTGCGAACAAACATGCTTAGTTCAAGGTGGAAAATGACAAAAATGATCATTATCGTGATTTTCGGTTTTTTGTTCTTTGCCTATTTTTAAATGTTAAGTAACAACAAAGTGATTTGTAATACTAAACTTATTTTGATTTGTTATTTGGTAGTCCAATTCTCTACATAGCACATTAGTGAATAGTGATATGTTTAGTTGATATTATTTATTTAATTGTTTAGCATTAATATTTGGAAAATATTTACCTAAATTGAATTTATAGCTTTAACATATCAAATCAATGAAAATAATTTTTTTTTAAAAAAAAATATTTATGCTTTATCATTTTTTTGCCAAACGTGCATCAAAATGAGATTTATTTACCTAGACTATGTCTATGGCTTTACACTGTGGCCTTACACGTTGAACAAATTAATGAAAATAGAAATTTTTGTTAAAACAAAAGTATTTTTGATCACATAGAAAAAAAAAATATGAATGATTTTTAAAAAATTTTTATTTTTATTGGTTTGGTTTGGAACCCATCTAGGTAAATATTTTCCGATCAGAAATAACCTCTTTTGAATAAAAATTTTTTGGTTTATAGCCCTTTTTTCGTTTATAGGTGGGTTATGGACTTGGCTTAAGTAAGTTAATCCCTTTAATTTTAATATGATGACAGACAGATCTCGTATCAAATTATCTCCATTATAAGAGTTCTTCGTCAATTTAATGAGTTAAGAGAAAGCTACTGCTATATACTTCATCGTATTAATTCATTATTTTGAGCGTACAAATGAATAAAAGAATATAATTTTTAATATTATAATATCAAATAAATTGGCAGAAGGACCAACCCTGAGTTTCAAAACAATGCACAGTGGAGACAGTAAGTAGTTGACTCGTTACCAGAGAAAGAAGGAAAGGAACGAAGCATTTGTTAGGAATAAATAAATTAAAAAATAAAAGAGCTTAGAGATTAATTTAACCTATTAAGGAACTAACATAAAACAGAACTCCAAACCCCCTAATTAACTCCCATGTTTTAAGGGCAGTTACTGCAAAAATATAACGGTTGACGTTTTTCTCTGACCACCGTCCCTTCCCTTTACACGTCTCCTAGAGGCATTGGCATGACCGAAAAACAACCCGGACAGTTTTGGAGAGAGAAATCTCTTCTCCATTCTCTGTTCTCTCTGTTTCTTCCATAGCCAAATTTCCAAATCCCCCAAATCTTACTTCAAACACAAAGTTTTAATTGATAATCCAAATACTGTGGAGCCAGCAGACATCATCTTCGTTATATTCATTATAATAATTTTTCTTTTTTCACTTTGATCTAAGGTGCAGGAAAACATTTTCTCTCCTTTCCTGTATCCTCTGTTTTCCTGCACTGTGTTTTTTGTTTGCATCATTTTAGATATGAGCTGCAATGCCCATATATTTTTCTCCCGTGTTTTCTTCTTCTTTTTCTTCCTCTTTATCACCTTAAATACAATTCAAGTTTCTTGCAAAGGCTCTATATTAGAATCCGAGTCTCATGTCCTGGCGTGTGGTGCTACCTCCGATGGCACCGACAGTGATGGCAGAAAATGGCTACCTGATACAAAATATATGAATTCTTCTAGTAATTCAATAACGGCAACAGCCGATAATCAAGACCCTTCATTGCCATCAACAGTTCCATACATGACCGCACGAATATTCACATCTCCAACTACATATAAGTTCTCTGTTCCTGCAAAGAGACGGGTTTGGGTCAGGCTCCATTTTTATCCAGCAACATATAGCTCTCTGGAACCCAACAGTTCCTATTTCTCTGTTTCAGCAAATAAATTTCAACTTCTCAAGAATTTCAGTGCCTCAATTACCTGTAAGGCTCTTACGATGGCTTATGTCATTAGAGAATTCTCTATATCCCCAATTGAAACAGGGACTCTTGATCTCACCTTCACACCCTCTAAAGATTATGATGATACTTACGCTTTTGTCAATGGCATTGAAGTAATTCCGATGCCAAACATGTTCACTTCGGGGGACCTTATTGGTTTTGACGATCAAAGTCTTGAAATTAGTGCCAATTCTTTGCAAACAATGTATAGGCTCAATGTGGGTGGTCAGTACATTCCTGCAACAAATGATTCAGGCCTTACAAGAATATGGTATGACGATACGCCTTATTTGTACGGAGCTGCTGTTGGTGTAACAGGACAAGCTAATTTTACCCTCAAGTACCCTACCAAAGAAGTACCGAAAACTATTGCCCCTTTAAGTGTTTATAGCACAGCAAGAACAATGGGAGTAGATAACAGAGTAAATAGTCAGTATAATCTTACATGGATACTTAGTATTGATGCAAATTTTACTTACCTTGTAAGACTCCATTTCTGTGAGTTAGTCTATACTAGGGTTAATCAAAGAACCTTCAATATCTTCATCAACAATCAAACAGCACAGGAAGGTGCAGACGTGATCGGCTGGGCAGGGGCTAAAGCAACACCATTTTATAAGGATTTTGCAATTGCTGTACCTGATAAGGCTGGTGATGATCAAATATGGGTAGCATTGCATCCTGCTGTAGAAATGAAGCCAGAATACTATGACGCTATATTGAATGGATTAGAGGTTTTTAAGGTTAGTGACGCTACAGGGAATTTGGCCGGTCCTAATCCAGTGCCATCAGATATGTTGCTTGAGGCAGAGGCCAAGGAAGCAAAGGAATTTTCTTCAAAGGGACTTGATGGTCCGATTATTGGCGGTATTGCTGGCGGGGCTGCTGGATTGACAATAGCTTTTATAATCTCTGTTTTTGCGTTTAAGAAGAAGAGGGGTCTTAGTGGAAGTCAATCTGGAAGTCATAATTGGTTGCCACTTTATGGAAATTCTCACACGTCAGGAAGCAAATCTACATTGTCAGGCAAAAGCAGTGCAAGTAGCCACCTTTCTTCTCTTGCACAAGGCCTTTGTCGCCATTTTTCATTGCCGGAGATCAAACATGCTACAAAGAACTTTAATGAGAGAAATGTAATTGGAATTGGAGGATTTGGGAAGGTTTATAAAGGAGTTATTGATCAAGGAACAAAAGTTGCTATTAAAAGATCAAACCCTTCTTCAGAACAAGGAGTTAATGAGTTCCAAACAGAAATCGAAATGCTTTCTAAGCTCAGACACAAGCATTTAGTGTCCTTAATTGGATTTTGCGAAGAAGATGGAGAAATGGCTTTGGTTTATGATTACATGGCAAATGGTACTCTTAGAGAACACATTTACAAAGGGACAAAGCCTACTAATACACTGTCCTGGAAACAAAGATTGGAGATTTGCATTGGAGCTGCAAGAGGACTTCACTATCTCCATACTGGTGCGAAGTACACAATTATTCATAGAGATGTCAAGACAACAAACATTCTCCTGGATGACAAGTGGGTAGCAAAAGTTTCCGATTTCGGGCTGTCCAAAACAGGTCCTAATCTTAATGAAAACCATGTTAGTACTGTGGTAAAAGGTAGCTTTGGGTACTTGGATCCTGAATACTTCAAAAGGCAACAATTGACAGAAAAATCTGATGTCTACTCTTTTGGAGTAGTTCTGTTTGAAGCATTATGTGCTAGGCCAGCTCTTAATCCTACCTTGCCTAAAGAACAAGTTAGTCTTGCAGATTGGGCTCTACATTGCCAAAAGAAGGGAATTATTGAGGATATTGTTGATCCACATATTAAGTCTGAAATATTACCAGAATGCCTAAAGAAATTCGCAGAGACGGCAGAGAAATGTTTATCTGATCATGGAATCTATCGTCCTTCAATGGGTGATGTGTTGTGGAATCTTGAATTTTGTTTACAATTGCAAGATAATCCTGCTGGGGCTAAATTGGTTTCAGAAATGAAATCAAGTGATACTTACGCAATGGACAGAGGGATGCTTAGCATCGAAGAGGAGAGTTCTGTAAGTGAAGATAGCAACACTGAAATTTTTTCACAGATAGTGCATCCAAGAGGAAGATAAGAGGAAAATCAAATTTGTATTGTGCTACTTGCATTGTCTTGTGACTTCTTTATTGCTCCAATTTCAATTTCTTCCTTTTGCAGAGTTATACATAGTTAGACTGTTAATATTGGAAAATTTTATGTAACTTCTACATTTCTATGTTCTTACTTCTGCTATTTAATCCCCCTCTAAGCTTCTTGTAATCTTCTTGATTTGCCTCATCTTATTTTTCTATGGATTTTAATTATGATTTGTTAATAAAATTTATCATATGAAATCAATTCAAAATTTCAAGTTTCACGTTTAATATAAACAAAAATACTTACAATTCAAGATGACTAAATTAATTTTTATCATTTATAAATAAATTACATATATATAATGACTATGTGTAGCTCTTATTCTATTCTGCCATTGAAGCTTTCGTTCATATGCTCTTCTTCTATTCGTGTAATATTAAATACCCATCTCCTTAAAAAAGAAAAAACGAAAAGCAAAAAACCAAAGCAAGAATCTACAAGGGCTAGAATGAAGTGACAAAACAAAACAAAGGGCATATAAACTATAAAGTCTAAAACTCAAAAAGTAATCTCTTGACCTCCTCCACTCTCTACTATTTATGAACAAGATTACAAAATTAAATTTGGCCTTCTTATTTGTTCATTCATACCCAAATTAAGCCACTCAGACAAACCAATTTCAAACCTTCCATTTGCATGCAAAACAGTCTTCAAGTCCACTACGTCTCAATAACAAAATTTCCCTAATAAGGGGTTTCTCATTCTCTTTCTTCTCAAATTTTGTTTTTCGAGCACTGAGCCTTGCTGCTAACATGCAACCTCCTTTGTCAATTCAAACTGAGAAATCAGAGAAAGGAAGGATTTTTTTTCAGAAAAAAAAAAAAGAAAGAAAAAAGAACTACTTCCAGCTAGCTTTTGCAGTTTTTCTCCTTCCTCTGTTGTTGTGACTTTTTGTAATTTTCTTCTTCAACTACTGCTTCTCTGACGAGCACTGTTCTCTATCTCTCTCTGGATTGCTCCAATCCTTAGTAGGCAAAGCTAAAAGTCTATTGATAAACAGCAGCAAGCTGATCCCTCATTCTTCTTTCCCTATCTATCTCTTTCTCAGGTCTAAAACAATTTAGATGATATATTTGTGTTTTACAAGCAAAACAAAAGAGAGCACACGCGCTGCCACAAAAGAGCTCCAAGTTTCAGACCTTCCATGCCATGCAGCTATAGAAGCAGTAGCTTTTTTTTTTTTACTTTAATTTTTTTCCAAAATATAAAAGATTCCGGAATAATGAAAGATGAAAACCCAGAACCTGGTCTTGAAGTTTCACGAGATGGAGTTTAGGTTAGAGGGTCTATCTACTAGTGTCTGCTAATGTGAAAAATCTAAAAGCTGAGACATTGACATCAAACATTGTTTCTTGTTCGTCTTCATGGATGTTAGCTTCGAGTTTTGAGCTTCTAATTAATTGGGATCGATAATCTTGGATTTGGGTTTCATAACTAGATTTCAAATGCAGTTAGCTAGTATATATATGGCGAACGGAATCTTGTTTCAGGCTTATTAGCAGAAATTGGCAGATTTAAATGCAAGTGTATACATGAAGGAGTTTGAATAGGTGAATCTGATAATTTGACTATTCTTCAAAGGTTTCCCTCCATTTACTAAGCAATCATCAAAGGAGAGCCTTTTGAAGGTTGTTGGGTTTATCATTCTTGCAGAAGCAAACCAACCACAATGGAGATGAATATCAGAAGGAGCACAACCTGAAATACAGGTGTTTACAATCTGAACTATGTACTGTGGAATCCCTGCAGTAGAATCTCTACTCTGTGAGATGCTTATATCTCTGTTTGTGCAAGTACCTGTTACTGAAAAAAAAAAAATGTACGCACAAGATTAAAAAAAAAAAAAAAGAAAGAAAAAAGTACTACATCCCAAACCCAAAATAGAAAAAGAATTTTTATAAACATATGTGAAAATATTCTTTCTTGATTCTAAAACCCAATAAATAAAAGTTTGAGTCCTTACCATGAACAAGAAGCTTTCTGTAACTTAGGTTTGACTCTTGTAGTAAATTTTTTGTTAGTGTAGTTGACTGGTTATCATTTTCATCATAAGAAGAAGGCAAAAACTCTGCATACAAAAAACTGTAGTTATTGAACTCAAAGTCTTGGTATATACTCTAGAAGGAATTAGAGAAAAAAGAGTAGAAAGTGAGTAGTGGTACCTGATTGAATTCCAAGATTCCAACCTGTAATGATTAGCATAATCAAGAAAAGGAAGCAGCAAATATAGCAAGAACTCATGGTTATCAGTTGCAAGTTGAAATCTTTGAAACTCAACAGTAGTGAGGAAAATCAGGGAAGTGTGTGGTTATATATGGAAGATACTTAGGATTGATCTCCAATTACGATATATAATAATAAAGAATTCGAGCTATATATACAGCAAGAAGAGCTAGCCCATGTAATTAAGTACAGTTAGAGACAGGTTGGGGAGAGTGAGGACCACTACCAATTTCATTCTAATATCAACAGGCTATTCCATGCAACCCCGTCTCACTATTTTTATTGTTGCCACTTGCCAGGAAAGAAGAAAGACAATAGCCATTTAATGCACTAGCCAAAGGTCATATCCCGTTTCTGTACGTGCACACCTATCCCATCCAATTTCTGAAATTTACTTTTATAATCTGCTATTGCAAATATATTTACTTTCTATTTAAATATGAACTTCCAATAGACACATTTCATATTCCATTTGAAAAATTACACATCTTCCCATTTCTGATAAGATGCTGCTTCAAGTTTTTTGCCACCTTTAGTTGTTTATATTTTGAATTTGGTTAGATTTTTGTGAGGGAGTGATAGGAACACTTACAGAAAAAGAGAATGTAAATTCAGGACTTTTTTCTTTTCCTTTCTTGGTTGAGATCTTCATCTTTTCTTCAAGAATTCAAGTGCAAATAGATAAAGGGGGGACTGTATTGTTACATCACATCCCATTTTACATATCCAGATACTGCAGGTCATTTCTTGTTGATGTATCTATCCATTGGATAACCAATTTCTTGGTCAAAAAGCAAAATTTTCTGCTTTCAAAATTACACACTATCAACTTGTACTCCTCCTTTCTTATTAGCTTCAAACTCTTCTCTCTTAATTGCTTACTGAGAAAGGACAAAAGTTCATGAGTTACTGTTACTGAGCTGTAAGGAGAAAGAGTTGGTTGCAGGGAGACATTGGGACAGTAGCCTGAATTAGAAGTTGCCCAAAACAGGAATTTGCAGGTATAGCTTCCTATCTATAAATTAAAAAAGAACGAAAATTTTCTACTTATGCCTAAACCTAATGTTGTAGGCCTATTTCCAAATCCATACAATATTGAAATGCCATCCAATTCCAAACCCTATATATGCCTGATTCTTGCATAAAAGTACTCCCACAAACCACCTTCTACGTCCACCATTCACAGTTAATAATTAAATCTAAAAAAGGGCATAATTTTGTGAAATAGTTGATTTTTTTGACTTTTTCTTTTTGACTATCAAGATTATCCTCCCCACCTCCGTTTTTGGAAGAGAGACTAACCCTTTTTCGAGCGGGAGCAATTATGTTAAAGACCTTCTCAATACCGAATTCACGACTCGATTCTGCAAGAACTAAGATGAGATTTAATGTATTTCAATGAATAAATCAAGCTATCTAGAGTTTTTTTTTTTTTTTTTTAAATTTTGACTATCAAGATTATCCCTCCCCACCTCCGTTTTTGGAAGAGAGACTAACCCTTTTTCGAGCGGGAGCAATTATGTTAAACCTTGCTCAATACCGAATTCAACGACTCGAATTCTTGCAAAGAAACTAAGATGAGATTTAAATGTATTTCAATGAATAAATCAAGCTATCTAGAGTTTTTTTTTTTTTTTTTTTTTTAACTTTTGAAAAGTGTATAAATACATGTAAAGTAGTACATTTTACAGGTATTTAATCTTCTGATGTTGATAAATTAACAAGCACATGCAAGATTCAATTAGTTGGCTCATTTATGTATGTAGGCCAACACTGAATACTTTTCCTGAAGCAAAAATGACTTTATATAATTAGTCGTCATTATTATTAAAAAGAAGAAAACCAAACAAAATTGGCAATAAAATCAATTAAGAAAAAATAATTATGTCAAAGGAAAAATAAAAACGCGTTTCCTTTCATTTCTTTGTTTGCTCAGTTTCAACTTTGAGGACGAAAGCACCAATTTTATTAGTGTATTGTCAAAATAGGGCAATCTAGGGTTTCCAAGGACCAAGACAGACCGAGTCAACTATTACTCCGTGAGCTTTATGAAGCCATGTGGGTGGTATTTAAAGAATATCAGAATATTTACTATAACAATATTATTACCAATGTAATATGTATTATTTTTTTTTTTTTGACTTTACAACTAAAATAAAATTTTTTGCCCATTTACATATTAGTCTCGATTTATTTATTAAACGAATTAAAATTTTTTTTAAAAAATTTTCAATGACCAAAACCGAAAGTGCTGGGCTGATAGAGAAGCAGCAGGTGGACATGCATGGTTATGTATCGATCAACTCAGGTATGAAGGTCACGTGGATTTCTTAAGGCCTGGGTCAGGTCAGCCTTTTTATTTTCGATCTGTCCAATGTCCCTGTTTATCGTAGTAAAGCCACGCCTCACGCCTAGGCATTTTCCTTTAACTTTTAATCATGCCATGGAAGCAAAAATTCATTGGCCCAAAGTTCAGGATTATATTGATCTATTGCAAGTTGTTGTTGATGATGACGATGATATCTGTTAAATAAAAAATGTAATTAGATATAGGATATAATTTAATTAGACATAGGACTTTACACTAGCGTTGCATATCTCATTCAAAATATGTAATGCTCGATTAAGATTTTCATTTAATAAAAAAGCACAGACAATTAATATCATATCTTTCATTCGAATTCTCACGATGGCTCAATTTTAATAATGTAAATATGTGTGTTAACTTATTTGTAAAAACACGATAAATCAATTATATTCTTATATAATTCTCAAAGCTATTTTATCTTCATATTTTTACTTCTGTCAACTATCATTGATCAAATGTAGCTTACCCTTTGAAATAAAAAAATTTAATATTGAAAACAAATTTGTTACAAAACATTTTTTAATATTTAGTAAAAATAAATTATTCTTTAAAACCTATACAAGCCTAGCAGAATCTGAGAACCTTGCATGAGTCCAATTTATGACACGTGCCATATCACGTGCAATTCAGAGTATCCCCGTAGCCGGTAGTAAATTTATATAGACGAGTAGTCAGTGTACCACGATGCCGGTAATACGCATGCAAAGCAAAACTGTTAGCCTTCTGTTGTAAACACTTTTATGACCAAACTATCCTCCTGAAAATGGGCACTTGGCGGAAAAGTGGAAGGGTAATTTGGTACAATGAGAATGAATGCAGGTTGGAGTTTTAGTTGGGTTGGGTCAATTCGATGGAACAGGTCGAGTTGATTACGGCCAGGAATTAAATGCAACTTTTTGGTCGAGAGGTTCGTTTGGGTCCGTGATTTCTGGACTCTTTGGATCTGCTTAACGAGGGCCGACAATTTCTGACCCAGTGGTCCTGTTCGCCTCCCTGTGTGCCTCTGCCTTGGGAGTCTGGACTTCTGGATTTAAAGCTTCTTTGTTTCACTGGTTTAGACTGTGCTTTTTGTTACTGTGCAGTTGGACTTGCATAGCCCAAAATGGCAATTTTCTACTTCCTATTGGGCCTTAATTGGGCTACACTATGGATTTGAAAGTTTGGACTCTATCCAAGTCCATAGATATTTGAGAGTCAACTAACACCACTGTCTTGTCATATTTGTTATATATAATCAGCGACATACAACTATATAAAGAAATGATTTTTCCCAATTATGCCTGTGTCATCTCTACTTACTTCGTTGACTATGTTCTTTTTTTTCTTAAAAAAAAAAAAAAAAACAACTGTCTAACAAGAAAAAAAAAAAATTATAGGGTTGACGATATCAATTTCATTATACATTGGTAAACAGCCTATCCGCATTAGTTGTTTGCTAAGGACACATGGGTTACTATCTAGCTCATCATCTCCCTTCTTTACTGATTTTGCTTGGTTTCCTCCTCTATAACTTCATTAATGGCGATTCTATAAACATTGCTTGCTCTTCCTTTGACTGTGGTAATGGCATCACCTTTGGCTACCCCTTTTGGCACCAAAGCCAACAATTTGAGCACTGTGGGTATTCAGGCTTTAATCTCTCCTGCAATGACCAAAACCCAATGCTCTTTTTACCTAATCAAAATCTTTATCCCATCAAAGACATTAATTACTCTAAGAAATCACTCACTCTTGCCTACCCTGTATCACTAACAGAAGCAAAATGTCCAAAAATAACACTAACCCATGACATAATTTCAATAAATACAGCATTTTTCCATACCTCAGGCAACGAAAATTTACATTTCTTTTATAACTGTAGCTTGTACCCACCTTCAGTTCCACATATAGGATGCCTAGAATATGGTGCTATGAGATCATATGTCTTCAAGGAGGGATTGATCCCAGAATTTGATTGGCATAGATATTGTGAGTCTGGTGTGACTGTGCCTGTGACTGATAAGGCAGAAGATGGAGATTTGGTTATGGAGTTTGGTCAAGCCTTGCGAAGTGGGTTCAGGTTGGAATGGAAGCAACCAGATCAAGCATGTCAGACATGCGAGGCTAGTGGTGGATTTTGTAGTTATAGCAACGGTGTGCCCAACTTCTTTTGCATTTGCAGCAGTGGGAAGCAAAAGATTGACTGCAATGATAATGGTTCCTCTTCTTCTCAAAAGGGTAATTCTTTTCTCTATAATTTTTTTACAATTGTTGTATAAATAGCAAAATATATTCTTCAGAACTTGTTACAATAGCAAGCAAATAATTTCTATGTTCTTAACATAATTTGTGAATTGGCAGGTTCTGTTTCAACCCGGCAAGAACCAAATTACATTGCCATAGGTGAGCAATTTTTATAACAAGAAAATTAGTTTTATCTACTGGTAATCGGACCACCATAGACTTTTAAACAGAAATAGAATAAAATTACTACTAATTAAGAGTTATTTAAATCATTAATTGAACAAAATTTAAGGGGAGTTTTGTTGTGATTTTTTATGACATGTTTGGCTATCAGGTGCTCTGCTTTTCGGTGGTCTGGTTGTCGCTGCAACTGTGTTTTACTTGCTCCAGAAGAAGAAAGTTGGCTCCTATAAACCAGTTTGAGATTTTGAATAGCAAGTCTAAAGGCCATTTTTTCCTTTGTTACTGTTCAAAACAAAGTGCAAAATTTCCTTGTTTTTATAAGTAGTTTCGACTTATCAATTACTCCACAGAGAGAATTAAATCAAAAATTAGTAAAAGAATGTATTATACTGCATAACCAGAGAATGGATCAAGATGGTTGATTGCTATTGCCAATGAATGTTCATCTCAAGCAAGATTGAAGTCTCTATAACATATATAAATATATTTTTGGATGTTCCGACGAGTATTTCCATAACCTTGTCGAGTATGAGATTAATCAACATTTCGGAATTTGTAATTACCCTCCCATAAGCGTTTTCTTCACATATAGCGTTTCTGATATTGTAAAAGTTTGTATAATGGTTTATGACCCCATTTATAGCTCAAACAAATGATAATATAAATTTTTAAAAATTATTCATCGTTTTAGATTACACTTATCCGGGCTGGATCTATAATTCATCTATACACCAAATAATGATAATATGAGTTTTTTAAATTTGTTCCGTTTTTATCATTTTTATTTACAGTATATGGTTAGAAATATCATAGTTTCATAATATATGATTAAAAATTCACTCGTTGTAATAAAAAAAAAATCATTTTTCATTAATTTAGTGTATGAATTGACCTATAAATCCAGTCCAAATAATTCAATCCCAGTAAAAAGCATACTATAATAGAAAATTACTTGCTTAGACTGGATTCATAACTACGCTTATGGACCAAATCAATATGACAATAAGAATTTTTAAAAAGTTTTTCGATTTTATCATTTTTTTCTCAGCATATGATCAAAAATATCTTCCATTCAATAAAAAACTTTATTCTCATTGATTTAGTCTATAAGTAGCGTTACGTACCCGGTCTAAGTAAAAATTTTCTACTGTAATAACTTTGCACCTAAGGACAGTTTGCATTATGATGTAAAGACTAAAAATTTTAAATTAATGTAATTCAAGCCCAACGGACCATCAAGTGAAAATTTTTCTCTTAAAAGAAAAAGGCCCACGAGCCACATTGATGCCAATATAAAATCTGATAAATGTTTAAATTAGACCGAAACGAATGTGTTAAACTCAGCCCGTCTCCACAGGGTTTTAGGTTTCATGAAGGGTTTTAGGAAAACCTGAGTTTAACTGTTCACTGTCTACTACTTCACTGTTAACTGTTCGCTCCCGCCTTCAATGTCTCTCTATTTGTAACCTAATGGCGTTTCTTTGCCAAAATCCAGATAAACTTATATCGGATAATTTATTATCAATTTCGTTCTAGTTCCTTGTACGAATGGAGGATTTTATCGATGACGATTTTGGTTCTATTTACGCCGATGTCGAAGTCCAAGCAAGTTATGCCATCAATTCATTATCAAACTTTGCTAAGCTAAACACAGAAGAAGAAGCAGAGGAAGGATGCAAAAATGATAACATTACTAAGGGACAAGTTAATGCCATCGCAAACGTGGGGAATCTCGTGTCAGGGTCAGATTCGAAGCAGTTGAATTCAATCTGCGAGAAATTGTGTAATTCGGAGGGAGATGGGAGTGATAGTGAGGATGATTTGAATATAGTCTTGAATGATGAGGATTGCCAGGGATTCTCAGTTGCTGCAGAAGGGAATAGCAATCGGGATGTTTTTTTGCATGGGGATGACGAGGATGAGGGTTATGCTAAGAATGGATTGAATCCCAATGCTAATCATGGAGGTGAGCGAGTGAATGGACTAAAGGGTAGTTTTAACATTCAGTATCTGCAGTACGAGGTATTAGATTTGTGAAAGTGATCGTAATTTTTATTTTTTAAAAGTTAACATATGTGTTTTACAAAGGTTCTATACGATGTTATCTCACATTTCTGTTCTATGCGCTTTTCTTTTTTATTTCTTTTTTATGCAATAACCCATCCTAGATTCTTATTTTGTTATTGATATTGTTGTGAAGCATGTAAACTCATATCGACCGTCAGTTCCAATCAATAAGAACGTAAATGAGTCTTTGGTGTCTCCTTCTTCTTCTAAATCTGCCAGAGGGGATTTGGAAGATAATGGGTGCACGCAACAAAAGATCTCAAACGTAGGTCAGGTGTCTGATATGCGTGGCACAGCCAATTCAATGATATCTCACGGTGCATGTGGTTTCTCACTTCCACGGAACAGGTTAGTAAACAGAAGTATAATCTAATTTATGCATCCCAGTTTCTTTTATTAGTGCTCGGTTGTGCACTATACACCTGAAAACAAATAGGTTTTCCGTATGTAATTTAAAACGAAAAGCAAGGGCAGATACTTTTGAAATTTTGTTCGGCTGATATTACAGTAATCATGGATAATTAAGGGTAGGTTTTTGTTGTTTATTACATCAGTGGTTTTCATTCTTCTTATGGGGATGACCTTTCAAGTCTTTCCTTCATGATCTGGTTAACATTTGTTCTTTTTCTTCATTTCAGGACTATACTGGATGTAAATATCGATGCATTTGAAGAGAAAAGATGGAGGCGTCATGGAGTTGATATATCTGATTTCTTTAATTTTGGTTTTGATGAAGAAAGTTGGAAACAATACTGCATCTCCCTGGTAAAATATTGTCCTACCCTATTTCGCTTGTGAAAGAATTCACACTCCTTTATATGCGTGCATGTATAGTGCAACTATTTCTGACCATAGGGCTGGATATTTGTGATCTTTTTCATGCACTGAATTTGGTGTCTTCATGTGTGGATTTTAGGATTGTACTTGTACACTGCTTAAGCATTAGAACTCAGAGATTAGTACACCCCACTAGGGGAAAAAACCTGTCGACTTATGTCCTCCTGTTGTTGTACATGAGTTGGCATTGTGATTAGATTTCATATAAAATAAAAGTTGGTCACTGAACTTTATATGATATTTATTTCAGGAGCAATGCCGGCAACATTCTTACATCCGTAATAGGTTCCCAAATCACGAGCCTTCAAAGCTTACTCAGGTTAGTAATTTTAATTTGTCTCTTGATGAGGATGAGAGCAAGATCTAGGGGTTCGTTGTGGAAAAACTCTTTGCAAAAGCAGGTGTAAGGTTGTGTATGGTGGATGATTCTCCCATCCCTCATAAAGAGGATTCTCATGCACTGGGGCCACATTTCTTTTTAGTGTCTTGCTATGGTCACTGTGAAACTACATGGAATATTAGATTACAATGTTTTTGTCGTTGTCTTAACCAGGCTTATGAAATTGGACTGGAAGATAAGAGAGCAGCTCAAGATAGTGTAGTTGAGCATATTGTTCAATCTGAATTTTCATCAAAATCTGCAGAAGTAGTAGAGAGGCAGTTGGGCTTGGTATGACCAAGTTATTGACTCCTGCTTTCTTTGTGACACATTCATTATGTTGAAATTGTTTCCCATCTCATAATTCACATGTGTCTTTCATTGAATATGATTAATCACTGACTTATTTTATTTGTTCAGCCAAAAGGAAGAGCAATTCAGGTTGAAGGTAGCACTGCTGAACGACAACCAACAATGAATTTTAGGCGTCCACGTATTTGGGATTCTGATGTTGTGATACAGGTATAATTTTTCTGTAGTTATGTCTACTTCTTTTATAACAATAACCCCATTTTATAATACTTATTGCATTGCTGGGGGCAGATCAATGTGCAAGATTTCGATAAGAATTCCCCTGGCTCTGGTGAGGAAGAATTCCACCACGCGTATCGACATGAAGTATCAAGCAGGGACTTGTATGTGGCTGATATAAAAGACGCCCACTATTCTGGTAGTGCCTGTGCTGATGAGTCATCGGCCAAAACCCTGGGAAATATAAAGTCTTCTTCCACAAACAGGTTTATATCATTACAATTTGATCTTGATTTTCTATACCCAAAACGTAGTTATACCTATAGGTACCAGAATCATCTCCTGTGTCCTTTCTGGAGAATTATTTTGGCAACATAATTTTCCCACACTGAAGATGGTCATTTGTCGCTGTTAATAATTTTGAACCTTACATCTTCTAAATGAAGTCTCAAGAAGTACACTTGTTATCTCTCAATGTAGTAGAAACAGGCTGGATACATTTTGGTGTTTGTCTTTGGTCAATGATACTTAGTCGAGGACAGTTAATAGCTATAGGCTATAGCTTTCTCAACTGGTTCAGATTTTTGCTTTATATGATTGTAGAAGTTAACCTCCATTTAATGTGTCATTAATAAGATGTTGACATTTTATGATCAGGTCTTCCCAGCCAATATCGCATTCTAGTGAAATTTCTCTGGTTCCTGATATTCATGACAAAGATCAGAACTCTAGTGATGATAATGATAAGGTGAATGCTCGAGCTTCAGAAGGCAATGCTGAAGAAATGGAAACTGTTGAGAAGGTAGGGGAAGAAAATGGCAGGAATACATGCAAGTCAGATCAACGCGTGATCGAGACAGAATTATCTGTTGGTGATCCGAGTCATTTTAGCCTGACACTATCCTGCTCTGGAAGTGATTCTGATTCATCCACAGATAGTCGGTGTGGTATTCCAGAAGTATCTGATAGTCCTTTGAGAAGGCAATCTTCAGGCACTATGTTGCAGGAGCCTGTTGCATATGATCGGAAGTGTTCTGAAAGTAGTGGTACAGTAAGAAAACTGGACAATTGGCGACATTATTCAAGAAATAGATATTCTAGTCGGGCAGTTAGGTGGCATCAGAACAGGAGACTTCACAGAGTTCCTGAAAGGAGGATCCACCCTCCTATGGGTAGTGATGCCTCTCCAATGTCTAGGGATCAGAGACATGATCGTTGCAGATATATTGGAAGGTCACATGATTTTTATTATGATGAGGAAGAGAATATTGCATATGATAGGCAGAGAAATTTTTGTAGTTATGGTGGTGAAAGGTTTGCTGACAATCGTATCCAGGATGTTTGCTCAAAGCATCTTCATAGAAAATATCATCAAAACTTTAGAGATGAAATGAAACAACAGGAAAAAAAGAACTGGAAAGAAGGAAATTTGCATGAAAGAAGTTTTAAATTGGATGACAGAGATGATTGGGATAGAGATTGGGATTATGGTGGAAGAGGACTTTGTCCTGAGGGCAGGATTCCTCCCACTTACAGAGAGTCCAGGAGATTAGTTTCAAAGTACAACAATTTCGAAGAAACAGACGTTCACTGGAGGAAGGGTAGGAAAATTCTGTCTGGAAAAAAAACTAATCATGATGCTTGTTTACTTGATCATGAAATTCTGGATGACTTGATGCTACAAAAATGTGGGAGAGCTATTCCAATCTCCAACAGGATAAGAGGGTCTTTCGATGAAAAACATGGTTCACAAAATCCATTTATTGGGAGAGAAGCAAATCTATATGGAGGAAGAGTTAGATGTGATTACAGCCCACCTATGAAATTGCAGAAGTCATGGTGTATGGAAACTGAAGATGAGCATTGGGATTCGGACAAACACCATTTGTCCCCTTGGTTTCATAGAGAATCTGATGAAGCCAATGAAAGAAGGTTGAGGGATTTGATGTTACCACGAAGCAGCATGTCTGACTCTAGATTAGCAGAAACATGTGGGAGACATAGAAGAGATACAAGTGGTGACAAATGCATGGACAATCATTGGCTGGATAATTATAATGATATTGATAATGCGGAAGATGGAATTAATTATATTGATGAGCATGTTGCTCAGCAGAGGAAAAAATATAGTTGGCAATCTGGAACACTGCATCAAATTCAAGGTGAATCACTTTTGGGGCATCGAGGTGATGGATTTGATACTGAAAGATCCACATTCTCATATGAAAAATCTTTTAGACATGAAAGGACTCATGTAAAATATAGATCTGCCAATGATTGGATGGTGGTTGATGATATACAGTTGGAGTGGCACCGATGCAAAATGTTTAAGGGAGAAGGTAGTGCTTGCTTTCTCAATAGAGAGCCTAATATGATGAATAGATGTGAGCATGGACGCACAGCCAGGAGGTGCGGTGATCCAGTTGACTTGATTTGTTGGGAAGGAAAGGTAAACTTGGGGAAACTGATGTCAAAACCCTGTATTGCCGTACTTGTACTTATAAGTGCTCCACTCATGAGCGAGTCTTATTTACTCTTGTTAATGCCATGGTGTTGCTTGTCTGTTCTCATCTCTTTCCATCTTGCAAGTATCCATGCAGTTCAATTTGTGAAGGTCTCGAAGCTTTTAGTCTTTGTCCTTAAATGCATGCGTGTCAAAATAGTCAATCGGGCCAAAGAAACAGGCAGGTTAATCAGTAATAAACACTTTATGCAACTTGCCCTACTATTCGACTGTGAATGATGTTCTCACTCTGGATAGTTGCTTATTAACATACAACCAATCTCTTGGAAAGTCAACATGAGATTTGAAGTAACCATTCTTATTGTCACTGTTGTTTACCCTTTAGAAGATTGAGAAAAATCAAATTGGGTTTTTGTGTTTGAAGAGATATCAGAAGAAATATTAGTACTACATTGGAGTGAGATTTGGACAAACATTACAGGCTATAGAATTACTTGATCCTTCCGGATTTTGCTAATTATATGCTTCTCAAAATTCTGTTTACATGTGTTATATGCATTATGTAATTTTCAAGAGCTCATTCGTATTCTTTAGTATTTATTTTACCCCCTACTCATTGAACAAAGGTATTTTGGTTGTACAAGTAATCAATTTTGGATAAATTTTACATTTGAGGTTTAGGGTGTTTTTCAAGTTGATGTTTGAACTCAGGCAATTTGATTCAGAAAGGCCATGCTTTTATTGCTTTTATAGTGCAAGGTGGTGGCGCCATAATGAGTGTTACATGCCTCCAAAATTACTGAATTCTTTTTTATATGTTTCTCTTAGTTCACAAATATTTTGGGCAACAGATGGGTTATTGATGTTTTACCACACCTATAGGCGCCCCTTCTACATCATTACCTTCTAGTACCTTATTTTTTGTGTATGGTTCTCCGGACGGCAAAGGGATCATTAATGCCTAATAAAACAATGATAAAAATTGCTGAAAATTAGGAAATTAATCTGTTTATTTGATGCCTGGAAAATACGTATTAGGTACCATTTGTTGCAGTTGATATTTTTCAGTTTCCTGCTGTAATCATTCTTCTGGAAGACTATTTTGTCTCATAACCTTTGTGTCTTTCCACTCACCATTATGCCATCTTGTACAGATTTTTTACGTGAGACTGATTTCCAGGATTTTTATTACATCTGTTACCTGCTAATCCATTTTATATTTTATATTTTCAGTAAATTATTCATACTTGAGAGAATTGTCGTCTCTTGTTTAACTGTGGAATGTGAAATGAACTTTTCTTGAGGTTTATTTGCCTGTTACTTTGAGTTTACTTTTCTTTTCTTTATGTATTGCCCTTGGAAGTTCATTCTTCTTGATGTTGTGGGTTGTGTTGCTCAAAAATTGTGTTTCTACGCTTTTTTATTTTTTTTTATTTTTTTTTGATCTTGTTGTCATCGATGTCCTTTTTTATACTCCTGTGTAGGTGTAAATTATGAATTCTCTTTACTCTTTTAAAGGTATAGTTTGAATAGCACTACTTTTCTACACAGTTGGCAAAAGTTAATTCCTTAGATGTTTTTACTTGTTTTATCTTAATATTTTTTTCTCATTTTCCCTTCTAATTTCATACTGTGTTCTATGTTGCATGTCATATGTGAAATAGAATTAGTGTTCTCCTGGTTGTTACTTCAAAGCTAATCTGATGCTGTTATTTGCAACTTTTCCTGCTTGTATGTTACATACTTTTGCTTACTATCCTTTTCTCCCTTTTATATCTAGTCATCCAGAAAGCCAGTGATTTGCACTAAATAGGACATAACTGGTGCTGAGAAATTCATCCATGATGTGATCAACTTACCTGAATATGTATAGTTTTATGTTCCTCTGTATTTAGTCTATGCATGTAACTGTCAGACTCAGGCATAAGGAGATGTGAATGACTTTCCTACGTTTTCCAACTTTCTTGTGTTACTGTAACATGTCTTACTGCCACTTTGGTAAAGCATTTCTTATACATTTTCTAGTTGGACAGTATACACAGCAAAATGTCTATTTGAATTTGTAATCTTGACAGTTGTTCAAGATGATAATTTATGATGTGTTCTGCTGCAATTGTGTTCAAGTGTATATACTCATCTGTTGACTCTTTATTTATTTTTTCTTTTTTTGCATTCTTCAATTTTTCTGGTAGCTAGTTTATCCGTGGTTAGGTGTAATTGGGTAACATATTCCTATGACAAATACATTGTGCAGTCCTCAGGAAGACGTTCTACTGCTGAATGTTTGATGTCCCGTGGTAAATTCAGAAAGATGGATCTGAAATTCGCTAAGGAGCATGAAATGGTCAAGGATTTTAATGAAACTCAAAGTGGAAAAGCAACCCAAACTGGTATTTCAAGAACTGATGGAAGCCGGGAGGATGGGAAATGGCTGGATAAGTTTTCAGTTACAGGGCATCATCAAAATCTGGATATTGAGGAAGGTCAGATTGTACCAGTAGAAACAGTGGCAGAAGACAGGTTGGAAAAGAAACATGCATCTGGTAGAGGAGCACCATTGCGCAACATGAAGGAAAATTTTCTGTCTCAAAATGTTCGGAATGGAAATGAGATGAAGGGATATGATGACCAGCAGATACTGGACACTATAGCAAAGATGGAAAGACGAAGGGAACGCTTCAAGGATCCCGTTGCGCAGAAAAAGGATCCAGATAAGATTCTGAAGCCCCCAGTTGATGTAATAGCTGATAAAGTTGAAACAGAACACCATAGGCCAGCCCGCAAAAGGCGGTGGGGTGGAAGTTAGGTTTTTCTGATTACCGGTAAGATTCATGTTGGATCGAACTATATCGATTGTTAGACACCGAGGCTTCTAGTTGTCTGTGGAACTTCTACGTGAATGAGAAGAAGCAGATAAGTTCAAATTTTTTCATTTGATAATTAAGTTATTTACTTGATATAATAAAATGTAGTGCTTTTGAGAGAGCTTAACACTTTCTCACTTCTCAGCTGCTGATAGCTACAAGACATATTTGCATGATCTTCATTGACTGGTTTTTATTTCCTTCCAATGTAAAATTTATTGGTGAGAATAAGATCAATAATTACTGTAAGTGATCATTTGTTAAGTGCAAAGGCCAAAACAGCTAGTTTCAGTTTTGATGCTTATTTATTCAGATTAGGATAAGCATTTGTTGTGTACATAAGTTTATTGAAGTGATTGAAATATAAAGTGAATGCTCTGTTAACATGGAAAAGAATGAAGTGGCAGAGTATGGCTCCTCTGTTTAGGAGCTTAGTTTTTGAATGATCCTCCAATGGTTGAAGGAAGTATGTTACTGGGTTGGGAAATATACCCTCTTGTCACATTACATGCCAAAACGACAACAAAAAGGGAAAAGTGTGTATATGAACGACGTCGTCGTCTGGGGCAAATGTTTTAGTTCATTTGTCTAGTGTACATGAGATCGTTGATTCGTTGTCCCTGATAGACTATGATTTTCAACCAACAAAAGTACTCCGCGTGTCTGAAAATCTGCCATTTAGACAGAGGGTAAGCCATATGAGATGTGAACTACGTGTCCACTCTCAAGCCACTTACTACCAAGTACCAAATTACTCAAACGCCCAACCCATCGAAATCCCACATTTTAGTCTTTTTCTTGCTTTATTTACTAAAAAAGAAAAAAGATTGAAAAAAAAAAAAAGAGATAAGAAGAGAGAAGGAACAAATGAAATTGAACAATCTCATAAGTGATTGCCTTTATTAATATCAGATTAATTTCAATTAAAAAGAATATCCAATTTTTTTTTTTAAAAAAAAGAGGGTTATATTGGTCATTGCACTCTCCCCATCCCCCGCCCTGTTTTCTCTTCCATGCAAAAGTGTAACAGTTTTTATCAGTTAATAACGGAAAATAGAAAAAAATAATTGATAAAAAAGATGCACCTTTTCTCTCCCTCCTCTGCTGCTTCTTCTTCTTCCTCGAAATCAAGTTTCAGTCTCTTCACTTCCTCTCAAAATCCTAACCACAAATACGTAAATTACACTTCGAATTTCTCATTCAAGATCCCTTCAAAGACTGTTACAATCCCATGCTCATCCAAGCAATCCTCTCTCGTCCTCGACCAGAGACCACTCTCCACCGAATCATCATCAATAAACAGAAAACCAGTTTCACATACCGAACGCAATACTGAATCGGAGAAAGATTCTGTAGAGGGACTACTCGTGGTTCGCAGGCCGGCGGTGGAGGTTCCCGGTGAAGATTCAAGCCAGAATAGTGATAATGTTAATGACAATGAGAAGAAATCTTCAGCTATCATTGATGCTGGTCTCGAGGACTTCGCAAAGAAGATGCCGATTTTTGAACCTGAGAGGGTGGAGGCGGGTTCATCTTCTCAAGGGAAGCCTCTAGCGGTGAATTTGGATTTGGCGTTGTACAAGGTCAAGGTCTTATGCAGAAGTTATAGGTATGCAGAAGCTCAAGAGATACTAGAAAAGGTACACATTAATCAATCTTTTCTTTTCGTCATTTTTCAATTGGAAGTTTTGGAAATATATTTTAAAAAGTTGGGTTTGTGATTTGGTTTTAAGTGTATTAGCTACTGGCCAGAAGATGGGAGGCCATATGTTGCAATGGGAAAGATACTTAACAAGCAATCAAAAATAGTAGAAGCAAGAGCTGTGTACGAGAAAGGGTGTCAGGCAACTCAAGGAGAAAATGCCTACATTTGGCAGGTTAGTTATTAGTTAAGCATTTTTTGTTTTAAATCTTCAAACAACTTCTGGTAAATTCACTCTCCACAGTTTGATTTTAAACAGTGAATCTTAACTCAATTAGTCAATCCCTGGAATTCTCACCGATGTATCATATTTGAGCTTATTTCCTAGTAGTGTCATCTGGCCCTGGAACTGTTTTGCAGCTAAATTAGTCCTGATTCATGTTCTATGACATGTTTTGGATTACTGAGTATTTACCACTTTGGTGTATTTTGTACATTTTAATGGGGAAAAAGAATATATTTAGCTTCTCCTTAATCCTCTTTGGTATGGGTTAGCCCTTTGTTATCAAATAAATGGGATGTGATAATGGGGTCTATCAATTCTTGGAAATTATTCTGCAATATTGACTGTAGTTGAACTGGTTCTTTTGCAATTGGACCAGTGTTGGGCTGTTTTGGAAAATAAGATAGGTAATATAAGGAGAGCAAGAGAACTGTTTGATGCTGCCACAGTTGCTGACAAAAGACATATAGCTGCTTGGCATGGTTGGGCAGTTCTGGAGCTAAAAGAGGGAAATGTCAAGAAGGCAAGACAATTACTTGCTAAAGGCCTCAAGTTTTGTGGTGGAAATGAGTACATATACCAAACACTAGCAATGTTGGAAGCCAAAGCAAATCGTTTTGAGCAGGCCCGTCAGTTATTCAGGCAAGCCACTAAGTGTAATCCAAACAGCTGCGCCAGTTGGTTGGTAAGTTCTTAGCATTGTAAGCATCCTTATCAGTACAAAAGGAAACTTCCCGTCTAAATTCAAAAAAGTGTTTCTTCTTGAATCCATCGAACTATTTTGACAGGCATGGGCACAATTGGAGATGCAACAAGAAAATAACCTTACTGCTACACAACTATTTGAGGTATTGCTTTTTGTTAACATAGTCCTGTTTACTTCCTCTGGTTCATGGCAATTTTTCTTCACCTCTCATTTCAGTCTACTGGTTGTACTTTTGTAATGAAGCTGTAATATCTTTGTTTTTGTAGAAAGCGATACAAGCTAGTCCTAAGAACAGGTTTGCATGGCATGTATGGGGAGTTTTTGAAGCTAATATGGGCAATATTGATTTGGCAAGAAAACTTTTGAAGATAGGTCACACACTCAATCCAAGAGATCCTGTTCTGCTTCAATCTCTTGCTTTATTGGAATATAAACACTCTACTGCAAACCTTGCACGACTCTTGTTCAGGAGAGCGTCTGAATTGGATCCAAAGCATCAACCTGTATGGATTGTAAGACATCTCTATCTCTTCTTGTCCATGCTTTTCCTTGGTTTAGTGAAGCTCGGTTAAACAACCAAAATAAATTAAAATTCTATTTTTAATTAAAAAATTGAAATGCTCATCTCGATAAGAGTTCAAAATGTTCTCTCTAATGTCTATTAGTCTTCACAATATTTAGCTTTTAGTTCCTCGATTTGTTTCATCTTCATATGATGGTCCTAGCAGATAAAAGCAATATGTTATTTCCTTTGCACAATACAAATGGAATTACAGCAGTTTTGTGTGTGTTTTTAACTCCCTTAATATTTGTTTAGCTGATTGAAGTTAAAAAATTGTTCAGGCCTGGGGATGGATGGAATGGAAAGAAGGAAATATATCCGCTGCTAGAGAATTATACCAAAGAGCTCTATCAATTAACTCAAGTAGTGAAAGTGCTGCTAGATGTCTACAGGTAATGCCTATCTATTCTGATGCAAGAAGAGATATTGTTAATGTTTTGGCAAATTGTTTTTAACGTATATGCATGTTTTTATTTCAATTGCCATTATTGGCAGGCTTGGGGTGTTCTAGAACAAAGAGCTGGTAACCTATCCTTAGCTCGTAGATTATTTAGATCATCACTTAATATAAATTCTCAGAGTTACATTACATGGATGACATGGGCTCAATTGGAGGAGGATCAAGGAAATCCTGTGCGGGCTGAGGAGATCCGCAACCTATATTTTCAGCAGGTCAGTAGTAACATGCAGGCGGAGATTTTTCTTGTTTTTAAACGTGTATCTTTGGTGCATTTTAAGTTTATTTTCATTGGATTCCACAGCGAACTGAAGTTGTCGATGATGCTTCATGGGTTATGGGGATTTTAGACATCATTGATCCAACACTTGACAGCATAAAAAGACTCCTGAAGTTGGACCAGAGCCCATATGGTAAGACACAGGAAGTTTTGAGTAACATAACAGGAGAAAGTGAAACAAGTGTTGATGTTACTTCTAGGAATAATACCGATGGAAATTTCATAAAAAGTGGAACTGGGTTTGATTTGGATTCTTTCATTCAGAAAAGGTTGTCTCTTGATCCAACCAAGTTGGATATTCAGCTTCAAGCCTCTGGAAATCCAGCACCATGGAGAGTCTCAGGAAGAAGACTATGGGTATCAGAGAAGCGAAAAGCTTCAAAATATCGAATTAATACGAGTTGATACTTAGAAAATTGATAACTGTGTACTCATTGACATTGTACACAAATTGTAAAGTGTTTATCAAAATTAAATGAAATGTTAAAATGCCTTCAATATTAAGATCTGCGTCACTGAAGTAGCTATTTATTAACGAAAATTTTTTATTCATCTATTCAGTGCAAGCCTATTCAGTTTAGACATGATTGTTTGTTAAACGAATTTAGATTCACTCGATCAATGATTCATGTGTTACAAATGAAGATGGATTCATAATGCCGAAATCTTTTTCAATAAACTTCTATAAATTTTCACACACCATTTAGACTTATTTAGACTGTGTTTTTGAACGAGATATTTCTAAGATGAAACTATAGATCCGGTATAAACAACTATTTTCTCATACAAAATACTTATGCAATATATTTATTATTTTTAAATTTTTATGAATAAAATGATTATATACAAATATTAATTAAAAAAAACTTTTACTAGCAATTAATTTTATAAAGTTAAGAAAAAAACTCTAAAATACAGTTGACAGAAGTAATAGCTGATTGAGATTTTTATCAGCTATCAAAACACTTGAGTTCAAATCGGTTGTTGGGTTTAAATCGGTTGTTAGGGTGAACCATTACAACTGACAAAATAATCAGATTGGATAATCAATTCTTTGGATTTAAATTCAAGTTTCAAATTTTACTTTTAAAAAAGTAATTTACTGAAAGTTATTTGAACCCTTACGAAAGCAACAAAACTAATTATTCTTCGAGTTTTTTTTTTTTTTTTTAATGCTTAAAGAAGGGAAGACCGTTGGTAATATTTTCGTATCAGAGAAACTTTTCCTTCCAGGCTGTAGACGACAGGACGTTTCCTATTGGTCTGGTAATATGAGAAACTTTTCCTTCAACAGTAGGTACGCAATTTTCTTTCCCTGTCATTCAAAACAATAAGGAAAACTTTTCCCTTCCGTTCGTAGAGGGTACTGTAAATTTTCCTCTCCGAACGGCAGATCCATTCTCTCACCTAGAACCCGTTAACTATCTGTGATGACATATCCGACGGCAACTGAACCAACCTGTAACAACTTCTCTTTGTATACTTTCAGATAAGATGGGAAGCTCTATCTACCAGCCTGCATTGCCGTCTTCTCATCCGCTATACTATCTCTATTTTGGATATTGAAACTAATAAGAACTGAATCAAAGAGACTAAAGACCAGGTGGTAACATGCACTTTAAAGATAATATACTGCATGCTTCTTTTCTTTTTTGAACAGCAAAAATTTTGAGTTGATTGGTTGAATATGATATGAAATTTTATATATGGGAATTGTCATGGGATGAACTTACTAATATGACTATAGGGCTTGCTTTTGGGATTCATGGAATGGCTTGCTGTTTTCTTTTTTTTGATCGACGAAGGTGGTGAGAACCCAGAAAACTTACCACCCTAGGCAACATCATACCAGAAATATCCTAAGAATATACATCCGGCTAATGAAATACTAACATATGATGAAAGAAATGACATTTTTTTTTATCGAAAAAAAAAAGGAGAATTAAAAGAGAGATTTCACAAACCAATGTTTGGTGCAACAACATAAAAATTATTTCGTGCGAGAGTTTATAGAGATTCATTTCCAATATTCAAAAAAAAAAAAAAATTTTTTTTTAAAGCTTTGGCTAGTAAATGAAACGGAAGACTTTTCGACGTGCTGGTAAATATAATAAGTTTTGTTATCAGACACTATCAATCCCAGTAGAAAACCATTCATGCTCTCCAATCTTCCACTGCAGTCATTGTAGATACCGAACAGGAGCGATCTTCCTGTATCTAGTGAGTCTGGGTAAGAATTGGAGAGAAACTATTTTTCTCCACTCTTCACAAATAAGAGTTATACAATACCACAAATTTTCCCTGAAGAAGGGGCAGCGCAATACCCAATTGTTTCCTTCACCCGTTCCATTCAAGAGCAACTCACAAATAAGGAAAAATAAAACGCTATACTAGGTTTGTCCCACCTTTTACCGACGTATGTTCTCACGATAAGAGAGGCGAGTACTACTAGTGAGACTCATGATTCATTCCCTCCTCCCCGAACGGGCATGAATCACACATATCCCACTCACTTTAGTCTCTTTAAACACCAGTACGAAAGCTTGTTCCATCATTCCATCCAATGGTTCGGCATATTCGTTAAATTATGAACTGAGTAACCATCCGACGGCACTGAAACATATCCTCGCGCTCATAACAACTTCTCTTTAATGTTAACTAATTTTTCAAAGGATAGATAAGTTGGGTAACGGCCCCTCTACTCCATTGACACAATTCAATATGCCCTGCAATTGGCCGTCTCCAATCATAATCAATATCAAAAGTCTAGGCCATGAGCTAATAACTGAAAGGTTCGTCTACTTAAAATCTTTTTATGGATATTGGAAACTAATAACTAGAATATTGAATTCCAAATAATTGAGGAATAAGTAGAACGTGTGGCGTTCTAAACCACATCATACCTATTACAAAGAGCACAATATATGCGTACCATGTTCCCTCGATCAACTGCTCTTTTTCTTTTCTTATGTTTTTATCAAACCTAGACAAAATTTTGAAGTTTATGGAAAGTCACTGGGTAATGCAAATATGAAAGTCATACATGGGGCAATCAATATTGTTATACTTTATCTGTGCGTTTAATCCGGTCATGGGGATTGAACTTACCTAATAACTATAACCTTTCTGGGCTTCGCATTTTAGAGGGTGATTTCACTCCAAAATCGGATTAAGCCTGTTGTGGCTAATGCTTGTTCCTTTTTCTTTTGTTCTTCTTCTCTGGATCATGGGTGATCGGATAGGTCGTTGTCTGATAAAAACCGGCAGAAACACGTTACCCCGCCAATACTTTGAATGGCTGGATCCAGAATTAAGTCAATCTTTAGATGTTCTATGGTCACACTCATCTTAAAATAGCCGTGAGGTAAAATAATCCTAAAGAAAATATACCCATCACGGTCTGCGTAAATGAAATCTTAACCTAATACATGGGATAAAGGAAGAAGAAACATTGACCATTTTCTTAAATTCATAATCAGCAAAAATAAGAAGAGAACGAAACTCTATAAGAAGCAGAAGATGTCAATACCTCATATATATCAACAGAGAATATCAATGTGTGTTTGGTTCAGTTACTCACACAATGAACAAAATAATATTATCGAGATTGCGATAGATGGTTTTGATTAACGACGATTTAGAATGCCATATTAATCGCCGGAACATATTCTCATAACCAAGACACAATAAAAGAGCAAAAAAATGCATCTTAATACCACGTCGCCACCCCTCGCTATAATAACATCTCTTTATCCGCATCATAATAAAAGCATAAGTCTGGTTTCTTTTTTCCTCTACATTAACTGCATATACTCTCTGTGATCTCATTCATCAATATTAGTGAGTCCAATTATGATTTGTTTTTGTTAATTTTTTGTGGCCTATTACTATTTTTCCCCTCATTCTTTACTATCTATTCTTCACTAATTCACTATTTTGTATTCTCTCAAAACCTTGGGAAATTGGACCTTAACTAAAAAAAGGGTCTCTAGGTCATCCATCACAAATCTACCATTTTTCTCCCTGGCATATGGGCCCATTACCAGATGGTTATAGCCTTCCTCCTCACTTCGGTCAATAGTCACTAACGCTATCCATCTTCCACCTTTTGTGTGGCCCTCTCTTCTAAAGTTCACTCAAACCATAAAAGATCCATTGCAAGAAGTATGAAATTAGAGAGTCAGGAGGACGGGTTCCAACGGAGGCATAAGAACTAATTAAGCCACGTGATTCAAGACATCCTCCTTCCTCAATTCAGATTAAGATCTCAAACGATTGTGAGAACAAATTTTGATCAACGTTCTTGAAGTCGCCGAAAATCTTCGGCACCAGTATAAGCAGTAGATTATGTACGATTATTTTCACTTATCAAAGTATCTTTGTCTCTGGTAAATTTGTATGCCCTCCTCTCCATAAAGCCCCACTCCACCAGAACAAAATATAAGAAAGAACCTGTCACAAGCAGGCTGTGTCTTATTAGTTGGCTACGTTGAGTTCACATAATATTCTTACGGTAAATTTCTAAAAAGGTGTCTAAGTGGATACTATCATACTTACTCGATATTCCTCTCTCGCCAAATATGGAGCATTAAAATTGTGTGCACATTGAAGTAAACCAAAACCTTCAGTGCTGATGATTTTGTAGAGACCTTTCTTCTACTTTATGTACACGCACTTATCACGTCCCCTTCACCATCAGAATACTCATCCTATCAAATGCCTCAATAATGATCACAGCACCCCACAGTAAATAATGTGGGTTATAGGTTAAATGCTTTTTTTAGACTTAATACTAAGGTTTCTTCAAGTTCAGTTTTGTTTTTTTTATCATTATCGTTGTTTATCAACGCACTAATAAGCAATCCCACATTTAGTTGCCAATCTCTCCTCTTCCTTAAATATAAGACACAATCCCACAATGTAATTAAAGCAGTACAAAGAACTACTAGTTATTTTTCCGCTTTACCACCTCTTAATAATTAACTATGCCTATACTAGATATGAAAATTACTTGTGTTGTGCTAAATCCATTAATTAGTCCTTTGGCCCATATAGCGGTTGTTCTTCTATTTTTTGAACGATTACAGCAGAAAATGTTTTGCAAGCATGGCAACCCGTTCTATTGCATCTCGCTCAGAGCATGTCTTTTCCTCTAACTCTTAATATTTTCAGGATCATTGAATAATAAGCAGTCATAAGTTTCTCTTCGAAATTCTAGGTTAGCAATCATAGTTTAGCTAGGGTTCGAACTAATACTAAATACTCAATGGCATAAACTAAAGTTACTCTAGTATCTATATTACCACATACCTTGACAATGTGTAACGGAGATTCTTAGATACTCAGGATCAGAAATGTCCTCACCATTTTCAATGCTTTGTGAGCTCAATCAATAACCTTTTTTTATTTAGGACTATGTGGGTGCGTAAGTAGTAGAACAATAATTGGTACGTCTTCGCGCTTTCATTCCTCCCACAAAAGCCAATTTTTATACTTACTTCTCT